TGCCTCTTGTGTGTTGATTCCCAGTTCCCTTTGATCTTAGGTCTTAATTCCTTGTAGGTTTCCTCCTTTGTTTTGCTGGAGCACATCCTTTAGCAGCTTCCTGAGAGGATAGGGCAGTACCTTTTTTGAAGCTCTGCGTATTCGAAAATATTTCTTTTCTCATGCTTATTTTTTGATGGTTTGTTTATAGCATTCCAGGCAGGAAATATTTTTCTTTCAGAAGGCATTGTTTCACTGACCTGATAACACTCATGACATTTTGAACCTATTTTTTTATTTGAAGACCTTATATGAAACATGTTTGTTTTTTTTTAATCTCTCTGAAATCCTCCTGGTTGCCCTCTTTGTCCTCAGTTTTCTGACATTCCATGACAGTGTGTCATCAGCTCAATTCTACAGACACATATTGAAAGTGTGTGCTATACAGTTTGTTTTGCTAAATGTTCCAGGCATGCAAAGACATATACAAGTCCTTGGATGGTTATAAGTCCGGGGAAATTGTGGACACAAGGCAAGCAGAATGTTGATAACACATAGCAGTACATGCATAAACTACACCTGCAAGGCTGCCAAAGACAACATTCTCATAAATTCCAGGCACTGGTATTTTTCTAAGGGATAAGAATTCAGCATCTCAGGTTGACTAATTTCATTAGAAATTAGTCTTTCCGTGCACTCAACAAACTCCAGGCCTCCCACATCAATAACCATGACCTGTCAGTGAGGGTGTGTGTGACATTTGGATTTCATGTCTTGCTCTCATTCTGGGGAGCTGCTGGTGGCCTCTGGCAGGTTGGTGTTGCCACCATTCACAGGGCCAGCAAGTTCAATGCCAGAGGTTCCCTCCAGTTTTCTGAGAAGTCGCTCTGGATAGAATTAGGGACCAGAGCCCCCCTTTCATAAGCACTTCTCTTTCACCTTCAAGGTGTGCCTCCAGGTTTCTCTGGATAGAACATAGAGATACATACAGTTCATCGTCCACTGCTCAAATCCACACAGTACTTACACAGCTCAGAGTCAGCACTGCCCCGGTGGCTGCCACAATGCTGTCATTATTATTGAGAACAACATATGGATAATATCTTGTTTGATTCTCACAAGCTCTTGAGGTAGGTATTTTTGATCCTGATAGGACAGAGGTTGAGTAACACGAGCTTCCAAACTGAGCAGAACCAACCCAGAGCTCACAACAGATGTGACTTCCTCCACCACGAAGGCAACATCAAAGACCATGTGACTCCCGGTTAGAGCTTTGTGGTTGTCAGCAAAATGAAGTGTTGTCCCAGAGGCCACACCGGGGGGAGAGTTAGTGCTGCTGCTTCTTCTGATGCTCATTGGCTGCAGTCCCCTGAGAAGCACACCTGCCTCTGGCCTCAGTTTTGCAAAAATGATGTTAAGAATATAACGGGAACAGGTGCTTAGCTTAGGAGTTAAGTTGTTGGTTAAGATGCCTTTATGCCGTATCAGAATACTGGGCTTGATACCCAGCTCCTGCTCTTGAGTATGTGCACCCACTTCTGAGAATGTGTGCCCCAAATTATTGAAACAGGATATTTGGAGCCAGTGCTGTGGAGTAGTAGGCTAAGTTCCTGCCTGTTGCACCGGCATCCCATATGGGCACCAGTTCTAGTCCTGGCTGCTCCTCTTCCAATCCAGCTCTCTGCTATGGTCTGGGAAAGCAGTAGAGGATGGCCCAAGTCCTTGGGCCCCTGCACCCACGTGGGAGACCCAGAGGAAGCTCCTGGCTCCTAGCTTCGGATCGGCCCAGCTCCAGCCGTTGCAGCCATTTGGGGAGTGAAACAGCAGATGGAAGACCTTTCTCTCTTTTCTCTCCTTCTCTCTGTCTGTATCTCTACCTCTCAAATACATAAATAGAATCTTAAAAAAAAAGGCCAAGATATTTGTGCAGTCATTTTATAAGCAGCACGACTCACAACAGCTAAAACGTGAAAGCAACCCAAGTTTCTGTTGGGTGAATCAACAAAGTCTGCATACAACGGAATATTATTAGTGGGAGTGTGGCCTAGCAGTTAAGATGCCCCTGTCCCACACTGGGGTGCCTGTGTTTGACTCCTGGCTCTGGCTCTTGACTCCAGCTTCCTGCTGATGCAGACCCTGGGAGGCAGCAGGTGATGGCTCCAATAACTGGATCCCTGCTACCCACGTGAGACATGGATTCAGCTCCCAGCTCCCAACTTTGGCTGAGCTCTGGCCACGGCAGGCATTTGGGGAATGAACCAGCAAATGAGAATTCTGTCTGTCTCGGCCTCTAAAATAAATACATTAAAAAAAATAATGTATATGGAAGAGTTTTAGGGGAGGCCCATGATGATCTAGGGAAAAGAAACAGTGAAGGTTCTCAGAAGTCCTTCCAAGACAACAGAAGTGCTGCTGTCCATGGAGACCGATACAGCAAAGTGAAGAATTTTGAGAATCTAGGATGTGAGTACTACAGAAATTCTTAGACACCAAAGTCCGATTATAATTCAACGTTCCACAGTTTCTACCAAAAAGTGGGTGTCTCCCAGCAGGGAGTGACAGTTTGAGCCCAGTTTTCTCCTGGGAGTCAGCGGTTCTAACTTGGCTCTAAATTGGGATGACCTTGGGAGCTGTTGGTACGCAGAGGCTCGGGTCCACCTTCTGAGGTTCTCAGGTGGGTGTGGCCAGGGCACTGGGAATCTTAACAATGCCCCCACGTGATTCTAATCTGTAACCCAAGTTCAGAACTACTGCTCCAGAGTTTTAAATCATTCATCTGTGGTCCAAAGTTTAAAAAAAAAAAAAACAAAAAAAAAAAAACAAAAAAAAAAAAACAAAGAAGAAGAAAGGAGTGGTGCCTTATGGCTCTCAAACATCAACGTGCAAACCAAGGCCCTGGGAATTTTGTTACAATGCAGCTCCTAATTCAGGAGGAGGAAGGGCTAGGATTCTGCCTTTCCAACAGCTCTCACCGGGTGCACCTGCTACTACCCACAGAGACCATACTTGAATTAATGGGCGATAGCTCAAGTGATTTCAGATTTGAATGAGAATTATGGCTCTGCAGGCCAGCTTGGGACCTTGAAGAAGTTACAGTCTCTCTTGATAGCCACAGAAATGGTTGCCAGGACACTGCCTCTCCCATACTAAAATCCATGGACGGCCAAGACTCCAGGAGCCGCTTGCCATCTGCCAGGGTATGAGGGTACTTCAAAAAGTTCATGGAGAATGGAATTAAAAGACGTTTATCTCGTGCAAAATTATTTTTGAGGGACAGGCGTGCAGCACACTAGTGAAGCCACCGTTTGGGATACCTGCATCCCATATTCCAGTGCCTGCGCTGGAGCTGCAGCTCTGCTGTGTCAGCTTCCTGCTAAAGCACACCTTGGGAGGCAGCCGGGGATGGCTCAGGTGGTTGGGTTCCTGCCACCTCCATGGCTGGCTGAGACTGAGTTCTGGACTTCTGGCTTCAGCCTGGCCCAGGCGGGCATCTGGGAGTGAACCAGAGGATGGAAGATCTCTGTCTTTGCCTTCCGAATAAAGAAATAACTATATTTGAATTCATGCATAGTTTTTCCATAAACAAATTTATGGAAAATGTAATTATGAAAAAAACTATGAATAGATTAAACAGCCTCAGAACCAAAATAAAGTTATCTTCTAGTTCCATTTTTCATGACCTTTTGGAAGTACACTAGTATCCAATGGTGCTGAATTTGCATTCAATCTATGCACATTCTCTTGTATATTTTTAAAATATTTTATTTATTTATTTGAGAGGTAGAGTTACAGATAGAGGGAGGGAAAGACCACCCTCTGGTTCACTCCCCAATTGGCCGCAACGGCTGGAACTACACCAATCCGAAGCCAGGAGCCAGGAGCTTCCTCCGGGTCTCCCATGCAGGTGCAGGGGCTCAAGCACTTGGGCCATCTTCTACTGCTTTCCCAGGCCACAAGCAGCCCCGGGACGTGGGATCGCTGGATGAGGAAGGCTGGGCGCACGTCACCTCCGGGCCCCTCACACAACTCTTGTGCCGCTGAAACGGGCTGGTGCGCGCAACACGTTTCTCAACGAACAGCAGACGTCAGCCTTCTGTTAGGACAGCCTGCGCTCAAGGGACGCTGACTGACTACCTTGCCAGTCGTTCTCTGTATCCCCTCACTCAAGCCTCAACAACAACGATGAGAGGGGGTGCTGTTCTTTCATCATCCCCATTTTTACTACAGGAATGGAGCTCTGAGCTACGGTTGAGATCCCCGAGGGAACCGGCGCGCACCTGCCAGGGCGCCGTGCAGCCCGGCTCTCCAGCGGCAGGGGTTGAAGGCGCTGGCACCGGCAGGGGGCAGCCGCGAGCTAGCTGGGGACCAGCATCATCTTCCAGACCGTGCCTAGGGCGGCGGGAGGGTGGGCGCTGCCGCGCTGCCCCCGCGAGTTCCTAAGCTCTCAGGTCTCGCCGCTCCGCCATCCTCGGGTCCTCGCCGTGGCAGCTGCCCGGGGCTCGTCAGGACATCAGAGCCCCGCGTCCCAAGTTCAAACACGACTTCCCCGAGGCAAGCCCACGTCCACCCGGGAAGGCAGCGGAAACGCGAGATTTCTGCAACCGCTCTTGACCTCGGAGCGCAAGCCAACCGAGAAACCTGCCAGTCTCTTTACACCGAAAAAGTTCGGGCAGGAGCTGGGGAGTCCAGGCCAGGGGGAGAAAGTTGGGGATCCCGGCGGGACTCGCCCGAGCTCGCCGGGGGCGCCGCGCATCCGCGCCCGCGCGCTGGGCAGGCGAACTCGCACCCGGGAGGCTCCTTGGGCGGGCTAGGGCGACCTCGGCGGGGCGGAGGGGCGTCTTGCTGCGGGGTCCCCTGCGGGGGGTGGGGGGAGGCTAAGCGGGCGGTTTCCATGGCGCCCAGGGCGTGGGGGAGGAATATGTCCCGCAAACTATGGCGAAACAACTGCACCGCCCCGGGGCTAGCTCGGGAAGGCGGGAGAGGCCGGGTGCGGAGGGCGTCGGGGGTGGGGGCGGCCGGGCGGGAGGGGGCGGGGCGGTCACGTGCGCCCGAGGGGGCGAGGCCCCGAGCCGGCCCCAGCGCTCACAGGGCCGGCAAAGTGGCTGCGCCGGGAGCCGACTTGTCCCGGGCTCGACCCACAGCGCGCGGAGGCATCTGCGGCCGGGGACAGCTGCGGCCACGGGTGGGAGACGGACCGCTCCCGAGGACAAGTGGGAGCGGGAGCCTAGGGGTGAGCGCGGGGCGCCTCCGCGCGCTGCAATCACTCGGCCTCGCGTCTCCTCACTAGTAGCCAGTGGACGGCTGTAGGCGACCAGCAAAAGGCCACTCACTGCGCCCTGGGACTGCCGGAGTCCGCCCCTGCCCAGGGCTCCCGAGGGAGGCTGCGGCCATGGGGAACGAGGATCCCAGCCAGGACGAGCGCGGCGACCCCAGCGTCTCCACCCACCCCAGCGTGTCGGTCCACCCCAGCGTGTCGGTGCACCCCAGCGTGTCCATCCACCCCAGCGTGTCGGTGCACCCCAGCGTGTCGGTGCACCCCAGCGTCTCTGCCCACCCTAGTACCTTGGCCCTGCGGGGCAGCCTGGCGCACCCCAGCAGCTCGGGCCCCGAGGACAGCGTGATCAAGGTCAGCCGACGCCGCTGGCCCGTGGTGCTGGTGTTCAGTTGCTACTCCATGTGCAACGCCTTCCAGTGGATCCAGTACGGCTCCATCAACAACATCTTCATGCACTTCTACGGCGTCAGCGCCTTCGCCATCGACTGGCTGTCCATGTGCTATATGATCACCTACATCCCTCTGCTGCTACCCGTGGCCTGGCTGCTGGAGAAATTCGGCCTGCGCACCATCGCTCTCACGGGCTCGGCGCTCAACTGCCTGGGCGCCTGGGTGAAACTGGGCAGCCTGCAGCCGCATCTCTTCCCGGTCACCGTGCTTGGCCAGATCATCTGCTCGGTGGCCCAGGTCTTCATTCTGGGCATGCCCTCGCGCATTGCTTCCGTCTGGTTCGGAGCTAACGAGGTTTCAACAGCCTGCTCGGTGGCCGTCTTTGGCAATCAGGTGAGCCGAGGAGCCGGTGGGTGGGTGGGCGTTCAGAGGAGTGGGCGGCTTGCCCCGGTGGCTGGGAGGGGTGTGTTAGGTTGTGCACCTGAGTGCACCTCACAGCCTTTGTGACTCCGGGGGACTCCATGCCTGCCTGTGACTGGTAGTGTCATTGGGTGATTGTGACAGGGTCACATGGCAAGGTAAATGGCAAGCAAGAGCAGGGGCGATTTTTGGTCAACCACAGCAGACAGCAAGCTCCCAGAGCATGCTCTGCTGTGGTGGTGTTGTTTCTTACCCTGTGTCGGTCCACAAACCTAGACCTTTAAAAAAACGTTTATTCATTTTCATTCTGTGTAAAAGGCAGACAAGGGAGTTATCTCCCATCCACTGGTTCACTCCCCAAATGCCCACAACAGCCAGGCCAGACTGGGACAGACTGAAGCCAGGAACTTGGAACCCCATCGGGGTCTCCCATGTGGGTGGCAGGAACCCAAGTGCTAGGGCCATCACCTGCTGTCTTCCAGGCACATTAGCAGGAAGCTGGATTGGCACTGGAGTAGCTCAGACTCAAACCAGGCACTTGGACGTGGGGTTCGGTTGTCCCAGGCAGCAGCTTAATTCCCTGCGCCACCATGCAGGCCCCCAGCTTCGACCTTTGACTTCCGGAGAGCTCTTCTCTCTCAGCCAGCAGACTCGGGCATCCGACCATTCTGGGGTCATCAGAACTTGGCAGGTGTTTTTAGCTGGACCAAGCAGCTTCCCTCGAGTGCTGTGTCTCCTGCCCAGCACAGGACAGCAGAGCCACGCCTGGTGCTGCGTGGCCTTGTTCTCACCTCCTTTACACACAGCAGAAGCCAGCACAGGAGCACCAACGTCTGGTGCCAGACTCCTTCCCTGGGGTTGAGAGCCGAGACCCACGGGATGGCTAGAGATCTCGTTCTCCATTTCCAAGAAGGCTCTGGTATAAGTAGCTCGTATTCTTTTTTCTTTTCTTTGATTTTTTTAAAACATTTATTTGAAAGGGAGAGAGAAGGAGAGGAGAGAGAGAGAGAGAGATCTTCCATCCGCTGATTCATTTCCAAATGCCCAGCTGGGGCTGCAGCGGGCTGAAGCCAGGAACCAGAAACTCAGTCCCAATCTGCCATGTGGGTGGTGGGGACTCAGCTACCGGGGCCATCAACTGCTGCCTCCCAGAGTGTGCATTAGCAGGAAACTGGACCGGAATCAGAGCCGGGACTAGAACCCAGGCCCTCTGTTATGGGATGTGGGCATTCCAAGTGGTGTCGTAACCGCCGCACCACACACTTGCCCCCTTAGCTCATATTCTTAATCCTTTTTCTTTCCTTCTTTTTGGAAGCAGAGTTCAAATTTCTTTGCATCTCCATGTAGTTCTGATCCGGAAAGTTGGTATGTTATGAAAATGACTGCCTTCTCCAAGTATTTGAAGCACAGGTTTTTGGGTCTTCTGTCATGGGACTACTGCCCGGCTCTCTTATTTTTCCAAGCACGGGAGGTCCTGGCTGTGTGTTTCACATGAGCAGCAGCCCCCAATTCTCATAGGCCTGTTTTCTTGCATCTGCTCATATCAGTCAGATTGTCATTTGGGACAGAAACTGTCCAAAGCTTCCCTAAAGGCACATTTTGGTTCTGTTAGTCTTCACCACCAGGATGGTAACTTGAGCTGAATTTCCCTCTATCAGTGAGTTCTGCTAGTTGGTGTTAGTGCAAGCAATCAATGGAAGCAAACAGAGAGGCCACCTTTAGCATATAAACAGCGGTAATCCCTGGCCCAAACCTGCAGATTTGAATGTTTTGAAGATTTTGTGGACTTAAAGCCTGGGGATGAAACCAGATGGGCTTTTTGTTCAGGGCAACTTAAAAGCAAGTGTGGAGGACCACACCATCATCCTCCTATCCCCAAAGTGGTTGACTGGATTTTTAATATCCCCATTGCATTAGGTTTTTCCTTTATAGGACAGTGGAATTGGGGGATAAAGGATGGGGGCTTCCAACCTATTAGCAGCAGAATAGGATTTAGACTAGGTCGCCACCATCCCAGCCCCACTGTTTGGGGAGGGCAGGATCACTAATTGGAGAAGTCCCTCAGTCGCCATCAAGATAGGCGATTTGTTCACCATAGAGTGCAATCTAACAGGCTTCTCACACCCTGCGAGGGAGTTTAGTACTGGACGGGTCTTTAAAATGTAATAGGAATAACTATTCATCCCCTCCCCTGATAAGGTCAGGAAGTGCTAAGAGTTTTAGGTCTGCAAACAGAGGCTTTATCTGCGGCGTGGAGAGACATCTGCTAGGTTTGATCTTTTAGGTGTAATCCTCTGTGCTAAGTTAAACATTATAAAAACTGCATTGTGTGTACTTCCTCACGTAGAGACGGCTGTTTCTTTGCATGTGATTTAAGCTTTTTCTGTGGTAAAGTAGGGCTGGATGGAGGAGAACTATTAACAGAGCACCTTGAGCCGTGGTGCTTAGAAAAAAACACTTTACAAGCTGTCAGCAGACTTCAGATGTCGTTCTGCAGAATCGTTCTTCACGGCCTGCAGCTTCATTCACTTGGACTGTGCAGAAGATTCTGGTGATTCTGACCTATTACTTCTTCTTTAAAAAAAGAAAAAGATTTACTTATCTGAAAGGCAGACAGAGAGAAATCTTCCCTTTGCTGGTTTACTCCCCAAATGCCCACAATGGCTGAGGCTGGCCCAGAACAAAGCCAAGGGCGTGGAACCCAATCTGAGCAGGGTCCCAAGTACTGGGCCGTCATCTACTGCCTCCCAGGTGCGTGTTAGCAGGCAGCTGCATTGGAAGCAGAGGCAGGACTGGATCCCAAGCACTCAGATATGGGATGTCTGTGTCCCAAGGCTTAACCTGCTGTGCCATGGAGCCTGCCCCTGATCTATCACTTGGAAGCTTTCTTACATGACCCACACAGGCACTGACCTCTGCTTGCATTAAATTCAACATACATTCATTCAACAAGCATTTACCTCGCGCCTGCCTTTTGCCAGACACTGGCCTAGGGCTGCAGAGTAGGCCTTGCCTTCACAGAGTGCCTATACCAGACTAAAACTATCAGCACCAAGATTCAGGTTACTAAAAAATTCAAACCAGATCATAAAATAGAGGATTTATGTTCAGTTTTCCACGAGGTTTTTAGTAGTTTCTTGCCTAGTTGCTATGGTAAAGGGTGAGGAAGGAGAAGGAAGTTGATGTTTGTGTAACACGTACTATAGGCAAGGCACTTTTTCATCCATTGCTTAATGTGATCAACTCTGTGAGGTCGGTGGAATTGTCTCAGTGTTGCAGACGAGGCAATGCAGACCTATAGAAATCTAGCCACCTTATCCCCGAGGGGTGGAAGGGAGATTTGAATTCAACTCCACTTCTAAAGCTCATGTCAGTAGCCATTAAAATAAAATCCATGTGTGTGGAAAAAAGGAAAGTGGGATTCTGAGGGTCTCATTTTGCCCTTTGTGTCTCCAGGAGTTGGTGGTGGTGTTAAAGTTTCCAACACTTCTCCTAGTACTGCCTTCTCTTTGCTTATTTATTTTTATTTGAAAAGCAAAGAGGCAGAGACAAGTAGACGTGGATCCTCCATCTACTGATTCACTTCCCAAACGCCCACAACAACTAGGGCTGGCCCAAGCTGAAACCAGAAGCCCGAAACTCCATCTGGGTCTCCCACATGAATGGTGGGGCCCAACTATTCGAGCAGTGACTCACTGCCTCCCAGGGTGCACATCAGCAGGAAGCTAGAATCAGAACTGGAACTGGGATCCTGATCCCAGTCACTCCTCAGTGTGGAATGTCAGCATCCCAAGCAGTGATGTAACTACTGTGCCAAATGCCTTCTGTTTGGAAGTTCCTGCTAGAGGGCTGATTCCACCTCTTAACCTAGCAGAGTGACACTGCATGGTCTAGAAGGTGCGGTCAGCATGTCTGGGGAAAGAAACCAGTGCAGCCGGATTCACTGGGCTGACAGGGAAGAGGAGGCTCTAGACTGTAACTGAGGCTCTTTCCTTTTCTTGGTAAACTCTGCCCAGTTGCTTCCAGGTTATGGAAACAGCTTGGCTTTTTTTTTTTTTAAAGCAACACTTGCAGCATTGTTTCAAGGGAAACAGATCCCTGTGGGGGTCTGAGTGACATGCACACATTGTTACTGCACCAGCACTGGAAGAAAGCCTTATGTTAGCATCAGATAGTGTGACGCACAGGACAAGATAGAGTAGGAGTTGCAAGAGAGTGTCAAGGCCAGCTCCAACTCAGATAAAGGGCATGCAGCAGAGGGAGGGGAAGGGACCGCCTAGGGGCCCCTCAGTTCTCTCAGCCCAGTGCCCAGTGCCACCTAGAAATATTTGGAGAGTCGGAGACAATCTGTCTGCCTATAGAGGTACAGAAGATACAGGAACCTTACAGAAGCCATGCTGATGCCAAAAATACATAGCGCTGTCCTTTAGAAATACAATGTGAGCCAGATATCTAGCTACCTTGTCCCGTAGCCATGTTAAAAATGTTAAAAAGTAAAAAGAACAGGTGAAACTGGTTTAGTAATATATTTTCCTTACCCAGTGTATCCAAAATATAATTTTGGCATGTTATCAATATAGTAAAATCAGTAATGTGCCATTTTACTTTCTGTTCATTACTAAGTCCTTGCAAATTGGCGTGCGTTTCACACTTACAGACTGGTCACCTTTCCCAGTAAGCGATGGGCTGTGCTGCATCACCAGGTGGGCAGTGCAGGTCCAGAACAATGATGCTATTCAGCAGAGGACATCAGATTCTGCCAGGTAAGAATGTGCTCCAGGGAACTGACTCTGGGCTTGCAGAGGCTGTGCCTGTTGGACTGGCTGGTCCTGTGGTGTCACCCAGAGCAGCTGAGTTTCTGAGATGACTGCGGAGTAAGAATTAGAAGAAGGGTGGTCCCACCAGTCTTAGTCCACAGTCATGGCCACGTGGAGATGTTCAAGTCCAGGCTTATCATGCTGGATTTAATGTCA